AGGTCAGGCAAAGGTGGGGTGGGCAGAGCGGGGCCTGCCAGCGGACGCGGGCCCGTTCCACCACAGTGGGAAACCAGGAATGTGGGAAAGTTCCTTTGAAAGACACCAGCACAGCATGCCTATCTGCGAATTTGAACGCACCGCTGATCTCGATGTGACTAGCTCTCTAACAGGCATCATGAGATCCACAATGGTGCTCCCCCCTCCTCAGCTCTTACCCTCCCCGGAGGACACCCAAAAAAGGAGTTCCTCCAGCACACTCTTCTAGTAATCTTCCACAACCTGCTCCGATGGAAATCTCTCCTGGTGCAAGAAGCCAACAGCACAGGGAGAATGGAATATCTAGGAAAGGCAGCGATCTGTAGATGCTGTGTTGGTGGTGAGGGAAGGGGCCACAGATTTAGGGAAACTCTTGTCAGAATTGAAAAACGCTCCCCCTTTTCAGCTACAGAGAGGGTAATGGATAGTGTGTTGGATTAAGACCTGGGAGATGCGGGTTCAAATCCCCACTCGGCCATGAAGGCTGACCTTGGGCCAGTCCCTCTCTCTCAGTCCACTCTACCTCGCAGGGTTGCTGTGATGATAAAACGAAGACAGCAGAAGCAGGTATGCTGCCCTGAGCCCCCTGGGGAAGGATGGGAGACAAGATAAAAACATACCAGACAGAAAAATGTTCAGCAAAGTGCTGTGAACGGGCACGACTGCCATGGCCTATGCAAACAACACTGCCCCGAAGAACTGGCTTCAGGAACAGCAGCACCCAGCCAGTCCTGATTGGCTACGTAAATGCTGATCCCGACGTGTGCAGCTGCTGCAAAAAAAAAAGGGTAAATTCCACGCTGACCATCCTGGCTCAGAACAGGAATAGCCTGCCAGGGTCACACTGCCCTTATACAAATCCCCTGGTGAGACCAGGCTTGGAATATCGCGTGCCGTTTTGGTCACCACACCTGAAAAAGGATACTGTACATCCTGAAAAGGTGCAGAAAAGGTCCAACCAATAAGGATAGGTTAAAACACTGTTTAGCCTAGAAAAGAGGAGGAGGAGAAGGAGAAGATTGGATTTATACCCCACCCTTCACTACCCAAGGGAGTCTCAGAGCGGCTTACAAACTCCTTTCCCTTCCCCCCTCCCCACAACAGACACCCTGTGAGGGAGGTGGGGCTGAGAGAGCTCTGACAGAAACGGCTCTTTTTCAAGAACAGCTGTGCCAGAACTATGGCTTGCCCAAGGCCATCCAGCCAGGTGCAAGTGGAGGAGTTAGGCTGCGATCACACACAGTTCACACAGTAAAATCCAGTTGCAAAGTGGATTGAAAGTGGATTATTTAGTGCACTGGTTCCCAAAGTGGGCCATACCGCCCCCTGGGGGGCGCTGGAACAATCCAGGTGGGCAGTAGGAGCCTTGGGTGCAATTGGGGGGCATTGAATAAAAATAAGGGGGATGGTGGAAGCATAAGGAAAGAAGAGTCCAGAACCTCTCTAAAGCTGCCTTTTCCTGCCTTCTCCTGGTCTTCCCTGGGATCAGGGAGGGAGGGGGAAGGGGAGTGGGGTCCCCACAGCCAATCACAGGCATGCAAATTGCAAATGCATGTGCACCCTTGTAAGACGGGTGTTGCTGCTGGGCTATTGTGTGGTGGCTGCTACATCTTTCTTTACCATGTGCAAATTTGTCACTGCATCTTTTTGTCCACTTCTTGAAAGTAGATTTCCAGGAGGGCGCTGAGTAATTTTTTTTTCTGAAAAGGGGGCGGTAGGCCAAATAAGTTTGGGAACCTCTGATTTAGTGTGTGTGACCACAGCCTTAGAGTACCATCCTAAACAGAGTCCTTCCCTTCCAAGTCCACTGAACTCGATGAGATTAGAAGGGCATAACTCTGCCTGAGATGGAACCGTTCACGTTTAACACATGCCAGAATCAAAATGATCATGCAATGCCAACAAGTTGGGGGGGGGGACCCAGTCAATATTTAAACTAAAACCACAATGACAAAACTTTGCTTTCCAATCGGTTTTTGCTTGGTTTTTTCCAGCTCCCAGGGCTCTGGGGGAAAGCCCCAAAGGTTTCCTTCCACTGGCAGCCTGTTCCTTCCTACCGTGGGGGGACTTGCGCTCCAACGAAGACCCGCCAGAATGTGAAGCACCCTTTATCCCCTCTGCAGCCGAAAAACACAGAAACAGAAATCCACCGGCCCAAACTTGTACGCTGTTTACAGTTCCTGAACAGGGATTTCAAGCCGCGTTTCAAAAGAGGCAGCGGGAGAGGAAGTAAGACTCTGACCGCAAGCACGCACGTGGAAGTGAGACGTTTTTAATCTTATCTATCCCCATCCGACTGCCCTGAAAAGATAAAACGACAACCTTCGATGCCTTGCTTTGTGGTGTCACAAGAAGGGAGGGGGGGTGCGACAGCTACACTTCCGAGACATATCCGGAGAAATCACTAAGCTGGCCTCCGTGGAAGGTAGGCACAACTGGGAAACACGGTAGGCGCCTCGCCAAGGAGGCATCGTGAAATCCCGTAATTTGCCGCTTTGGCTTTGCTTGCCAAGTGGGAACGGAGGGAGACGTGGCGGTACACAGCAATTTGGATTTTTAAAATAGACCTACTCCACTGCCCCCCTCCCACCCTGCCTCCCCAAATCTCCCTTCTGTATACGCCCACACACACTCGCCCCTGTAAAAAAAAAAAAAAACAACTTGCTAAATAGTTCAAGAATCAAACCCACACGTTCGGCCCATCCCTTCCAATCTCTGCTTCGCCTTCCACTTACCAGAAATGGTACTGACCCGGGCGTTCTTGCGGGTAACTGTTTGCATTCCTCCCGAGGCACCAGAACCAAAGCAACTTTTTTTTTTTGCCTCAGACCTAGAGTTTTGTAACACCGAAGGCAGGCAGGCCCTCTGGGAAAACAAGCACGCAACTATGCAAGAGGGCACCTCCCCGTTGGACAGCTATTTACTTTTAGTTTAAAAGGGAGGGGGAAATTTTTCAGATGAAAAGTCATACGTCTCAAAAAGAAAGAAAGAGATCATCCATCATGGGCAAATTCCTGAAAGCCAGCTGTGGTTCACCTGGAAACGCCTGGGGGGGGGGAGAAGCTGCAGGGAGATTTTGTAGCTATCGACACAGACGGCTATAGGCCTTTCCGCCGGGCCAGGTATTTACTTCCCCGCCAGTGTTCCCTCTAAGCTGAGTTAGTGTGAGCTAGCTCAGTTTTTTAGCCTCCGGCTCACACCTTTTTGACTTAGCAGCTCAGGAAGGGGGGGCTCCAGAGCCAACTAATTTATGCAGTAGCCACATTGCTCGCTCACAACTTTAATGCCAGCAGCTCACAAAGTAGAATTTTTGCTCACAAGTCCCCAGAACTTAGAGGGAACATTGTTCCCCACCACAGCTAAATGAGCATTTAAACATCCTTTTGCTTACACACACCACCACCTCCATGACCAGTTATTCAACCTGAATACTGTTTAAAATATTATGCTGAAAGCTTGGTTAGAGTGTTGGACCAGGATCTGGGAGACCCAGGTTCGAATTCCCTGCTCTGCATAGAAGAAGGCTGGGTGACTTTGGGGCAGTCACACACTCTCAGCCCAACCTACCTCACCGAATTGCGTGTCTCTGTGTTAAGAACCATCAAGACACTTCCAACTTACGGTGACCCTACGAATGAATGACCTCCAATTCTGCAGAGTCTACAGCACATTTATTCTGTGGGCATAGTCATGCAGCATCCCAGGGGCTCCTGGGAACTGAGGTTCTAAGGTTGGAAGGAAGCTGGAAGTCTTCAGCACTCAGTACCTTCACCAAACTACAACTCCCAGCATTCTTTTAAGAAAGCCATGCCAGTTAGCTAGGATAAAAGTTAGTATAACAGCAAGGAAACTTTATGCTAAATATTGAACTTTATGCTAAATATTGGAGAAGAACAGAAACACCCGTGAGAGAAGAAATTTTAAGTAAAATTTTGGAAACTGCGGAGATGGACGAATTAACTTTAATCCTGAAAGGACAACCAGACTCAAGGTTTGGCAATTCATGGTCAAGAGTCTACAAGTGGTTTGAAGACTACAGCAAATAAACTACACAGACGTTCAAAACTTTTTAAGGACATACAAAATATAACTTTGTAACATTTGCAAGAGATATGCATAATTATAAATGGTGAAATAGATAAATCTACCAGTTGTTAGGGAGGAGTTTGTTAAACAAGAATCTGTAAGAATAGTTTTTTCCCTCTTACATGTTTGTTTTGTCTAAAAAATAAAAAACTGATTAAAAAAAAACTATATGAAGAAACGTAACTGTACCTAAAATACTCATTCAAATGCCTCTCGCTGTTAAGATCCAAGAATATTTGAAAATAAGCTTCAACAACACTATTTTGATTGTAAAAAGAAGTATAATCTGTATTAATGACTATTTTTACCTTGGCATTTCCAAACCCTGACTACACCTACTCAATCCCTGCCTGTTAAAGAAAATCGTTATTTCTATTTGAAGGCTTTAAAAAAAAGGATAAAACTTAGTATAAACCTTATGTATGTTGGCAGGTTACGAAGATACCAAAGCATTATGATCAGGTCAGGCCTGTAGCAAGCCACCGGCTGCAGTCACTGTAGCTGCATGTGTCTGCACCCATCAAACCACAGTTAAACACAGGTTCCCTTCCTCTTCACCCTCTTTCCAGACAAGCAGATCTTGCTGGCATCCCCATACACACAGCCTCCAGCGGCAGAACTTAGCTCGGCAAGCTACCCAATGCTCACCTCAAAGCGTAACCAGAGATAGGGTACAACCAGAGATGAGGCACAACTCAAGGTTTTATGTCAGCTCTAAATGTCACGTAAACAAGGGGAAAACACAGTTCGCAAGGCCCAAGGAAGGCTGTTAATGATAGGATACTTTGGAAGGCATTAATTCGCAGGGTCGTGGGAAGCGACTTGTTTGGCATGTAACACACAGCTCATCATCTTACTGTCTGAACGGAACTCACCTTCACCATCAGGGCTCATATTTTCGTAAGAATCCCAGCGAATCAAGGGATCCGAGGTGTTGTAGTCCACTATCACCCCCGGGTCATTCTGCAGGTGTTCACACCCTGGAAGATGAGAAAAGCACCAGGCTTTCAGGTGTTGGAATAATGTGCAGAATAGATTTGAATGGGAACTGTGCCATTTCAGACAGGTCACAAAGTCTTGGGTGTGAAGAACTAGGGCATCAATGAAACCCTCGAGCCTTCCCCCTTGAAGGGCTAGCTCTCTTGCATTCAGGGAACGTGGGGACGTCCTTAAACGTGACCTCCCTCCTGTAGCCTGAAGTCCTGCCTTTCTCAGAATGTGTCAGAGGCCTTCTTCTACATCAGGGCCCACCACATTTTGGAGCTGGCGGGTGCCTTTGGAATTCTGACACAATATGGTGAGCACAGCCACAAAGGAGGCATAGAGCCAGCCACAAAATGGCGGCCGCATCTTATCTTCAGTCACGCAGTGAAGATCCTTCTGTTGTGATGACAAGCTGCTGCCAAAGCATCCTTTTTTAAAAAATCAGCACAGCCGATCACATCTCCATTGCGCAATCAAAAGCCTTGCTGGGGGAAGGCCCCACCCGGCCCCACCCCACATTCTAAGGGGGTGGCATGAACCATGGGCACCATGTTGGAAACCCCCCTTCTACATATGAGAATCCAGGTTTAAGAAGGCCAACCTGGAGATGTGTGAAATAACTGGAAAGCAACTGTGGCTGCTCAACTTTAATCAGCCACTTTGGGCTCTCCTTAGGAAGTCTTCCTACAGAGACAAAATGGAATCCTACAACCCGGCAAGGGGGCAAAGCTGATCTCCCCCTTGCTCCTTCTTTTTTTTTTTAAAAAAAACATTTTTATTATCAGGCTATAACAACATGTCCAACGTTACAACATTTCAACACTCATTTTATACCCCCTTTTTATTTCCCCCCTCCCTCCCCTTCTTCTGGCTTCCCGCAGTGTTCCCACCTCCTCCAAACACTTCTTCTTCTTGTCCATCATTTCCACTAAAACAAAACTTAATAGGTAACAATATCTTTGACTAATATCATCTCTTCAACTATTCCCGAGTTTTTTTATTCTTAATAATTATCAAAACAAAATAGGTTATTTTTTAACATCCCAATGCTTCTCCAAGTATTCTTTAAAGTCCATCCAATCTGCAAAGAACTCTTCTTCCTCTTTATTATTGAGTTTTCTTGTCAGTTTGTCCATCTCTACCATAAAAAGCATCATTTTTATCCATTCCCAAATCTCAGGTGTTTTTTTTTTGTTTCCAACACTGAGCGTAACTCATTCTAGCTGTTGTAATCAAGTACCATATCAATGTTCTCTTTGTAATATTCACTTCTTCCATTTTAAGACCCAAAAGTAATATTTCTGGTTACCCCCTTGCTCCTTCTGAAAGGTGCCCCCTTGTTCTTTCTGAAAGTTGTGCTGAGGAAACTCCCTTAGGCCCGTGTATCTAGGGCTGGCACCACACCCTCTGGTCTTCCACCAACCCTGAAAAGCCAGTGGCTAATGAAGCCAAATCCGGCAGCCAAAATCTCCAAAGGAACTCAGCGGGACCATGAAAGGAATAGAAACAGTACGAATTTAAGCCTTCATATGCAAAGTTTTCCACTACTATGAAGAGTTGGTTCATTTGACGTTTGTATTTGTACACAACTGTTAACTGGAGCCCCTGGAATTTCCATCCCCTGATGAATTATCCTTTCAGATGGCATACTTGTGAAATCACCTGTGGGGCCCACAACCTGGCAGAAAACCAAGCCTCAAGAATAACAGAAGCCAAATTCTGAAGCCGTGAGCATAAACCCAGGGAAGCTCCTGCTGGAATAAATGTTCTTAGTTGTTGAAAGTGCTACTTTTAATTAGAAGCAGAATCCAACACTTTTTCTTTTTTTTTTACAGCATATTTTAGCATATTGAGAGCCAGTGTGGTGTGGCGGTTAAAGTGGCCAACTAGGATCTGGGGGGAGAAGAAGAAGGAGGAGGAGGAGATTGGATTTATACCCCACCCTTCACTACCTGAAGGAGTCTCAGAGCGGCTTACAAACTCCTTTCCCTTCCCCTCCCCACAACAGACATCCTGCGAGGGAAGTGGGGCTGAGAGAGCTCTGACAGAAACTGCTCTTTTTCAAGAACACCTCTGACAGAACTATGGCTTGCCCAAGGTCATCCAGCAGCTGCATGTGGAGAAGTGGGGAATCAAACCCGGTTCTCCTAGATTAGAGTCCACGCACTTAACCACTACACCCAGCTTCAAATCTCCATATTGTGAGGGGAGCTCACTGGGTGACCTTAGGCCAATCACATTCTCTCAGCCTAACCTACTTCACAAGGTTGCTGTGGGGGTAAAATGGAGGAGAGGAGAGTGATGTAAGCCACCTGGGGGGTCCCTACTGGGGAGAAAGGCAGGGTACGAAGGAATTCATGCTACGGTGGAAGCCTGGAAGGTCCCATGTGAACTTCTGCTTGCGCTCTGGGGATCCTCGGGAGCCACCACAATCTGTCTTACGCCCCCTAACTCCAAATAGAAACTCCTGAAGGGCAGAGAACATCTGGGGCAGTACCCAGGGCAACGTGAGGTTGCAGTCAATGAACGAGGCCCAAAGGCCCACAGAAGCCTTTGTGGAGTATCCCAGATCTTCATCCGGGCCCCCCCCTCGGAGGGAAAACCATAGAGTTTTCCCTCCGATGGTCGTGGCCCCGCCCCCAGCGTGCTCGGCATCCTAATGTCACTTCCAGGTGACGCTCATGTCGGGGCGGGGTTCCCCCTGGAGCCCGATCTGCCGGCAGCGGAGAACCGGCCTCTGGGGTGAAGGTTTCCCTGCCCCCCGGGGGGACTTGGCAGCCCTAGGGCCCCCCCCCCATAGCAACATGCTCCTTTCTGTCTAGATTTGCCCACTGGGGGCAACCAGGCTTACTTCAGAGTAAATTTGCATGGGACCGGGATGTAAGGCGGGTTATTTACAAAGGATCTTTACCTTGGATTTTCTCTGGGGATCCTGAAAACACCAGTTCAACTTTTCCGTAGTCAGGGAAACGGTCATCTGGAAAAGCAGAAGAAATTGTTTCAGTGGGGTTTTTTTTTTTAATTAACACAAAAAAAACTGGAAGACCAGGAACAGAAATAAACATTTTTTGGGGGGTAAGATGAGTGTATGGCTTGGTTGTCATGCAAAAACTAAGTCTACCTGCAGCCTTCTAAATACCCAAATATTCTAAATACCCAAATATTCTGTGGGGTAGAAAGGTTTTTAAGTTATACCCGGGTGACAGGACAAGGTACAACGCTGAGAATAAGAAGTTGGATCAATCTACTTTATCTTCCGCAACTCGTGGTTGCTCTTTTTTTTTTTCTAAAAAAAGAAACTTTATTTTTCTCTCCCTTGCCAGACCTGCCAGTGGGAGCATGAAGGGCTAAATCTACCAGAAGGTTCTTCCACACGAGCCCCACTGAAATGAATGAGAGGGGCCCAAGGCCACTCCTGTGCTTTTGCTCAGGTCATGCTCACTTCAGTGCGCAGGAAAACTTCCCAGGGGATTGGGATCTCAAACAGAAAATACGGACGCCGGCAAATGATTAAAAAAAAAATTCCCCGGGGGGGGGGGCTGGAATTAGTAAAACACAGCTGCCCGTGTGGTAAATACTCATTCTTTTCCTCTCACTATCGTCTCTGGGAGGATAAGTATTTACACCACTTCAAAAAGTCGAAGAGCCAGAGATGATAGCGGGGCAGAAGGAACACACAACGCCTCCAGTCAAAACAGCTTTCTATCATTCCATTTTCAACTGGCTTAAAAACCACATCCTCTCCTCAGGCAGAAAAAAAAATATATGCTGGTGCTGACAACCAACAACATTTTCAAGAGCTGTTGGCTATCCTGTCTCTATCCTTCAATGCTGAAGTCCATGAATAGCCAACTGGTAGGCCACGGCCCGCACATGGTTTCCTTGGCCCCGAAGGCCCTAAAAGAAAAGGGAGATGCCATTCTTTGTTACAGCTCCCTTTTGGGTGTCCTCCAGAATGAATAACTGTTCATCTTGGTGTACAGCACGATGGTGAAGCACACACACTCCATTAAGCTTGACACCCATACTGGTAGATAAGAACATGAGAAGACCCCTGCTGGATCAGACCAGTTATCCATCGTCCAGCATCCTGCCTCACACAGTGGCCAACCAGTTCCCCTGGAGGGAGAAAAACAGGACATGGAGGCTGAGGCCTTCATAAGATCATCAGAAGAGCCCTGCTGGATCAGACCAGTGGTCCATCTAGTTCAGTATCCTGTCTCACACAGTGGCCAACCAGTTCCCCTGGAGGGAGAAAAACAGGACATGGAGGCTGAGGCCTTCATAAGATCATCAGAAGAGCCCTGCTGGATCAGACCAGTGGTCCATCTAGTTCAGTATCCTGTCTCACACAGTGGCCAACCAGTTCCCCTGGAGGGAGAAAAACAGGACATGGAGGCTGAGGCCTTCATAAGATCATCAGAAGAGCCCTGCTGGATCAGACCAGTGGTCCATCTAGTTCAGTATCCTGTCTCACACAGTGGCCAACCAGTTCCCCTGGAGGGAGAAAAACAGGACATGGAGGCTGAGGCCTTCATAAGATCATCAGAAGAGCCCTGCTGGATCAGACCAGTGGTCCATCTAGTTCAGTATCCTGTCTCACACAGTGGCCAACCAGTTCCCCTGGAGGGAGAAAAACAGGACATGGAGGCTGAGGCCTTCATAAGATCATCAGAAGAGCCCTGCTGGATCAGACCAGTGGTCCATCTAGTTCAGTATCCTGTCTCACACAGTGGCCAACCAGTTCCTCTGGACGGCCAACAACAGGGCATAGAGACTGAGGTTAGTAGCCACCGATAGACTTATCCTCCACAAAATCTATCTCATCCCCTTTTTAAAGCTGTTTAATTCCTATGGCAGCAAATTCCACATTTCAATCACTCTCTTTGTAAAGTGGTATTTCCTTTTGTACGTCTTGAACCTACTGCCCATCCGTTTCATTTGATGCCCTCGAGTTCTAGTACTTTGGGAGAGGGAGAAAAATGGTGTCAACTTTTATTGCGGAGCTGAGGGCTTCCAGGCCCTTGACTACTATCCCCAGATTTCAGACGCTGGCTGTCTCGACCCAAGCTGAAGCCCATAAAGACAGGCAAGCAGAAATGCTTTACCTCCCCCACTGATGCCACACAAAGAAGGAAGCTTGCCTTTGTTTGCGTTGTCCAACTCCTCTTTGCCAAATACCAGACCATATCCCTGAACGGCACCCGTGTGGAACTGCAAGCGGAAGACGATGTCACGAGTGGCCGATCGGTATTTCTTGTGGTAGCACTTAACCTGAAAGAGAGGCAACCGACATTGAAGAAGCGATTGGATTTATACCCCCCCCTTCACGACTCGAAGGATTTTTAGAACATCTTAAAAATCTCCTTTCCCGCCCCCTGTCCACAACAGACACCCTGTGAGGTAGGTGGGGCTGAGAGAGCTCTTTCAAGAACTGCTCATGAGGGAACAGCTCTGAAAGAACTTATACTGGTCCAAGGTCACACCAGCAGCTGCATGTGGAAGAGTGGGGAATCAACCCCAGCTTTCCCAGATTAGAGTCCATGTTCCTAACCACTACACCAAACTGGGCTTTCTTCCAATGCCACTTCCAATATTCCTTTTGGTCACAAAATGCCCAGACACACAAGAGAATACCTGTTAATACTTCCTTCCCATGAACAGGCTGACTGAGGCGCTGGTAGAAATGTGCAAGACCAAGGCGCAAAATTCTGCTCAGTGATAAAGCACACTGGGTGCGCTTGAACTAATCACTGCCACTCAGCTTACGATGCCTCCCATTAAAAAATTTCACATTCAAATTTTTTTATTTATTGAACTGAAAAGCTCAATATACATTCAAGTGCTTTAACAGGCATCCGCTTCATATAGTTCAATCGTATCATATCAAGATAAAATAGATATATCGCCTATCTTCCATTGTAAGTCATTACAAACATAAAAATTCTTTGAATAACGTATTTGGAGGGAGTATGTTATTAGAAACTCAAAACTCCATTACTGGAAACCACCTTCCTACAAAGCTTATTCAGTTATCCTCCAAGTCCTAGCTATCAATCCCTACAGCTATTCTTGCCATAGGTGGGGATTTTTTTTTTTGTCCTTCCATTTTGATGCAACTGCTATTTTGGCAGTCCCCAACAAGATGATTCTCCTGCCAACCTAGCAGTTCGAAAGCAAGAAATTGCAAGTAGATAAATAGGTACCACTTTGGTGGGAAGGTGACAGCGTTCCGTGCGCCTTCGTGTTTAGTCATGCCGGCCACATGACCACGGAAACGTCTTTGGACAGCGCTGGCTCTTCGGCTTGGAAACTGAGATGAGCACCGCAACCCTAGAGTCGGATTGGACTGGCTTTCGAGCAAGGGAACCTTTACCTTTACCTTAAAAAGATGATTGCCTGTGCTTTAAAAAAAAAAGTTGCTTCAGCAGCAGCTGCTCCCACAGCACCAGCACCTTCACTACTTTTTTAAAAAAATTAAAATTATTATTAAATTTCTACCCCACCTCCCCGCGAATGTGCCTGAAGGTAAACTGTGGCGGCCATTTTGCAGCCGCCTTTTTGTGGCTGCACCCACCATGCTGTGTCCAAGTTCCAAAGGTCCCCACAGGCTCACAAAGGTTGGGGAGGCCGGCCTCACGGGATAGCTGTAGGCCACGGGACAGTGAACTGCGCACAGTAGAAGAGATAACAATCCTTACCCTGAGCCCCCACAAACGGTTTGTGTGGTTCTTATGCTGCTGCCACCACAGTCACCTCAGCCCCACTGCTTCGGAGGCCTTCTGTCCATGTAAAATATTTCTTTATTTATTGCTTCTGTTTGTTTCAAGTATTGAGGCAGGAGACGATGAACCATTAACCAAAACCTTTATTCAACATTGCTTCAGGACTTCAACGACAATGCTTGCAGTCTCTCTATATTTATACCCAGGGGTCATTTTCTGCGGGAGCGCACAGGAGCAGAGCTCCGGCAGTAAGGAGCCCAGGGGGCGGGCACATGCAACAAACTCCACTCCCTGCTCCCAGCAGCCCTCAGTTGGGCCATGAGGAGCAAGAAGCAGCCAGGTAAGTTGCAGAGCGCCCCACCACCACCTTCAGGTACAAGCTCTTCCTCCTCTGTGAGGGCAGATCTGCGCGTTTCCCCCCCCCGCCATAGCTAGCAATCGAGGGCAGGGTTTGGGGAGGGGAGGGGCCTCAGCACGGTACAATGCCACAGAGTCCACCCTTCAAAGCAGCCATTTTCTCCAGGGGAGTTGAGCCCTGTCAGCTGGAGATCAGATGTAAAAGCGGGAGATCCCCAGGCCCCACCTGGAGGCTGGCAACCCTACTCAAGGTGGCTAACAAAGTTAAAATAACATAAACAATACAGAGTTAAAACAATTAATAAACACAATTCCAAATTAAAACAGCAATAGTCCAATGGCGATAGTCCAATGATAGGGGTTGGATCCAGTGAGGTCTCAGGCCAGAAGATGTTTCTAGATTTCAGGCCAGAAGACGTTCCAGGGCAAAATACAGCATAAAAGTGCCAAGACCCAGTTCCCACAATTGGGAATGAGGTGGTAAATCTACATCTGGATCAGACTACTGTAGCGGAGGGCTCATAAGAACCTAAGAGGAGCCCTGCCAGATCGGACCGATAGTCCATCTAGTCCAGCATCCTGCCTCACACAATGGGCAACCAGCTCCTCTGGAGGGCCAACGACTGGACACAGAGGCCTTCCCCTGATGTTGCCTCCTGGGTCTGGGATTCAGAGATTTAGTGCCTCTGAATGTCGAGGTTCCCCTCAGTCACCATGGCTAGTAGCCACTGATAGCAGCCATCAGTGTGACTGAATGCTCCTCCACACGCCCAAAGATCCTGTTACATAGAAAACAAGGCATCAGGGGAAAAGAGCTGTAGACAAACCTTCCCCCTGACATGCAATTTCACCCACAGGAAGGGACTGGGGGGTGGGGGAGATGAGAGAACATTCACTTGTGCACAGTCTTACATTCCAGATTCAGTTTTCGCACTTCCTTTGCCATCGGTGAAAACTAGGACCAAGCTAGGCTTGCCAAGTCTCCCTGGGGGGCGGGGAAACCCCCGCCCCAGAGGCCCGTTCCCCGCCAGCGGCGGATCGGGCCCCGGGGGAGCCCCACCCAGACGTGCGTATCACCCGGAAGTGACGCAACCACGCTGGGCACGCGGGGGGCGGGGCCATAGTCATCCGAGGGAAAACTCTATGGTTTTCCCTCGGATGGGCGTGCCCCCGCCCCCACCGTGCCTGGCGTCGTCACGTCACTTCCGGGTGACGTGCATGCGGCGCGCACGCTCCAGCCGCCAGCCGGGAGTCCCTCGCTGCGGTGCAACGCCGGACTTGGCAACCCTAGACCAAGCCATAGCATTTGGTAAAGCTCTCCTGTATACTCCCCTGCCCAGAAGTGAAATGGGTGGTTACTGGAAACAGGGCCTTTTCTGTGGTGCAGAATACCCTCCCCAGACATGTCTACCAGGTGGCCTATGCTCTTTTTGTCCAGGGCCAAGTAAAAAAAAAAAGATTCTCTTCACACAGGCCTTTCATTGTCTTTTTAACTTATTCTGTTGGCTTTGAAGGCTGATGGCCAGGAAGAAGCATATAGAATATGCAGTAACAACTGGAAGCAGAAACCCGGCCGTCCTACCAGGACTAATTTCAACACTGAGGTAAAGCCACACAATTCAAAGGATGCCCCCACCCTGTAAATCTGGTATCTCACACTGCTTTCTTTGGAGCTCTGAAACACAACCCATATCCAATGCTACAAGGAAATGTACTTTCAGTTCACCTGAGGAACCATCTGCAGTGGTTCATGGACTGAGATTTTCAGTGTGTCACCACTCACGCACTTAATTTTCTTTTTTTTAAAATCTGTTTAGCTCCTTTCCCTGAAAGGAATGGCCTAATTCCATGGTTTTCTAGCTTTGTCTCTCCTGAGAGAACACTTTACATACTGATTTTTTTACTAAGGAATTCCTGGATATCTTTAATGGTGGTAGGGGAAGGTGCCATCAAGTTGCAGCTAACTTACGGTGACCCCGTAGGATTTTCAAAGCAAGGGACATTCAGAGTCGGTTTTGCCACTGCCTGTGTATAGGGCTGCCCGTTCCCCGCCGCCGGCGGAACCCCACCCCAGCGTGCACGTCACCAGGAAGTGACGTTATTACGCCGGGCACGCTGGGGCGGGGCCACGACCATCCGAGGGGGAAACTCTATGTTCCCCCCTTGGATGGTCGTGGCCCCGCCCCCAGTGTGTCCGGCGTCATAACGTCACTTCCTGGTGCACATAGGACGCCGGATGGGAGTCCCCCGCTCCCAACAGTTTTCAACTTGGCAACCCTACCTGCGTAGCAACACTGCACTTGCTTGGTCTCCCATTCAAGTACTAACCTGGGCCAGCCCTGCTTAGCTTCCAAGATCTGACGAGATCAGGCTAGCCTGGGCTATCCAGGTCAGGCTGTGTCTATCACAGAACCTTTAAACATTAGAGGATTCCCGGATATGGCTACTGATCATCTGAAATGTCGGCCAGCACTCACCATTGTGCTGAAAAAACAGAGTTTATACTAAAAGGTCCCCCTGACTCTCCCGTGCACGCAAGTCACGGTAGATCGGAACGAAGGGGAAACTGCCTTCCAGAGCAACTTGTCCCTTTTCTCCTCAAGGAACTCTGAAGGAAGTCCCAAAGATCCCTAGAAACAGTCTGGATCCGTGGGTGCCGACGCAACACGAGGAATCCTTGACACTTCCATAATCTTTTTAGCCGGCACCTGCGCATGAGGTGCACCTTACCTCACACAGCAAGTATGTTCAGCAGCAGGAAAGCAGATAAAGAGTTGTCAAAACACCGCTGTGGTATTTCCAAACACAGATTTAGACATCTGGTGCCCTGCGAGAAACAGGAGCCCTCCTCCAATCCCGGCGTCTATGCCATACCTCAGATGGGAAATCAAGATAGCGCTCCTGAGACCTAAATGGTACATTCCTTCCCTATTATTCATGTTGCAGTGGCATGCACGCACTGATGGAGGCAGCCCGAAGAGCCATCCAAGGAGACAAGTTTGCATTTCCAATTACACCATTCAGCCACTCAGTGAACTCCCCTTTCCCCGAGAAAGCACTTTCCAAGATGTCTGAGTTTTTCGCTGACAAAAGGCAAAACACCAAACCAGACCAGGTTTCTAGTTACGTTCTTTTCAAAGGGCTTTGGACCATAGGGCAGAGCTAGACATTACAATAGACTGGCGGCAGCCC